AGTGCTGTTTAGTACAAACAAGAAAACAAGATGTTATTACAGCAGGAGCAGATACTGACCTCTGCTTGTGCTGGCCAGCATTTTCATTACAAGACTCTTGTGCCTTTTTCATCTGTCTCTCAGTTTGTTTGTTTGTTTGTAAGAATATTTCTTTTTCCTTTTTAAGACCCTCACTATTTTCAACAGGTCTGTGAAGCTTGGAGGAACCATCTGGATGGTCATGTGCCTTTTTCTCATTTTTTTGTAGTCCTATCAAATTTTTTTCAGGTTTAGTAATTTTTAAAATATTTTATAATCCATCTGTTTCCCATCCCTCATTTATATTCTACAGGACAATGCTGACAGCCTGCCAAATTAACTTGGCACAGACATCTGCAAGGCTGGGATTTGTGGCCACATCTAAGTGTTTGAAGGGTTGAGCCCCCAGTCCTCTGTATGCCTGAGCATTTGCCTTTTCTCTTAACTGAGAGAGGTATGAAAACACCAACAAATCTTGTGTCACTCACTGCCCAAGTCAAGAAGCCACCCCATTAAGTCAAATAGTTTTGACTACATTCTTGCTATGGAAAGGATCATGCACCAAAAAGTTTTTTTGCTTCCAGCCAACAGAAGGAATTTCGTGCTGCAGAGTTGCCCCTCTTCGTGGCTGGAAGTCACACTGGCTACTCAGAGAGAACAGGAGTTCAGCTGTAGGCAGCAAGGTAAGGTGATGCTCACAGCAACATATACCCAAGCAGGGTGACCTGGGCTGAGATCCAGAAATACAGAAGATACAGTATTTTTTGAAAGTATGAGAGGTGTGACCAGTTTTAGATTCTGCAGAGCCCCGCTAGGACTGTTCGCAAGCTACACGATAGCCATTTTGGATTTTCTCCAGCCATATCCAAAGAGGTAGTAGTCACCCGTACTGTTAAAATTGCTTCTCTGAGCAGCTATGAAACAGAAATTCATTCCCAGCATCCTTTTCTGTTTCTTCTCTCTGAGGGATTAATTTCTTGGTTACGTGTTTTAATGTAAGATTCACAATGTTGCCCTGAGCAATGTTTGAAACTGCAGATTCTAAACACCAGATTTTTAACTATGGGGGACATTGGGAGACATCTGTTTGGGGGGGGGGGTGTGTTGTACCAGACTTACAGCATGTTTCCATCAGGACGGGAATGTCAGGGAAAAGTAGGGAGTCTTTAAACATTTTATGGGGAAGACTTCCACTTAAATAGATGAAATTGCATGGTCACAAAATCCATTTTGCAGTTTGAGCCAATATAGATAATGCCAGCATGTCTTTCCCTTTTTCCTACCCCTTCGTCTCCTCAGCCCCAACCATAAGTACGGTTGGCCAGTGGAAGTGTGCTTGGATTGCTCTGCCAGTACTTCTTGTCAGATGTGTGATTCAGACCCAAATTCAGCATGGACTGGAACCACAGAGCAGAGAAATTCAAAGTTATGAAACTTTCTTCTCGTTTTACAGCAGTCTAAAAAAGCATTTTTAAAGGAAGAAGAGGTTAAAGCCTTTATATCTATGCCCATCTTTGGTATTCACAATTGACTCAAGTTGTTAAAACTCAATTTTTTGTGGCTCTGTTTAAAACATAAAACCTTTGGCTTTCTATTTGGATTTTTGTTTATTCGTTGCTGAGCTTCCATAGGTCCTTTAATACTGAAATGAAGCTCTCTAAACTGTAAGGAAGTTGCTCGTTAGTGGAGCAAATACAATACTGCAACCAACCACAAATATTGATTTAATATAGAATTGATTTCTCCCTTAAAAAACACTAAATCCTCTGTTTGGTTGGGGTTTTTTTTAATCTTAGTAGAAATCAAATTAGGAATTTGAAAACTACAGCACAGAAACAAACAACAACAAAAACCAAAAAACACGAAACACCACACCTTTTAAAGCAGGCCGTTTCCTCCACATTACAGAATTTAATACAAGGGGGGGAAAAGAGACAGAGGGAGTGAGAAATGTAAAGCTGTTCGGAGAAATACTGTCCCCACTGAGGTCAGGGACGGTATTTCCGTCGCGGCTTGTG